TTTAAGACCCCAGATGCTATATCTTTTGATAGCCGGGCACCATCAGCTTTCTTCATCACATTTGCTTATTCACCGCAAATCCATTAGTTTTTCTCAATTTCTGTTACTACCACTTTACTCCACGCCATCCTTATCTGTCTCCTCAATACAGCAATGAGTTGAGTGGTTGTTTTTTTTTTCATTCTTTTTACTCTTGCCCCCAACCTCTCACAATCTGTTCTTCACCTAGTAGCCAGAATAAACACTTCTAGTTAATTGAAATGAAAACTCATCAAGCGCTTCCTACTACACTTAGGGGGAAAAAAATCCAATTCCTCACTCTGGCTTTTAAAACCCTTATGGTCTGGCCCCGGCCTATTTTCAGCTGTTCTATCTTCGCGTTCCATTCAGATCTTCACATTACTGACCCCTCCCCTGTTCAAATTCAGTTTTTAATGTTACGTCTTCAGAGAACCCTTCCTTATAGGCATCCCAATGCCGTACCATAATCCTATTTTAATTTTCTGAATTATACAGATCTCTGATATTTTAATTTTTTGTTTGTTTTCTATAATTCATCTTTCCCAACGGTGATGTTAGCCCTACAAGGGTCAAGAATTTGTCTATTTTTCTTATGTCTCCAATACTGTATAAACTGGTGGGGCATCCCAGGTGACTATAATCAAATGTTTACTGGAATGATTGAAATGGTATATTTGGGGTTGTGATGGTTAGGGATATGGTCAACTAGACGCTCCTGGCTAAGAATAGGGATGGAGCCCAGCCTAGTAACCAGGACACCTCCTGGCAACACCTCCTTGGGGGTGTGGCCTTTGGGATAAGAAGATACCTGGCAGAACTGATTTCTTTTTGGCCCTTTTCTATCTGCTGGAACCTGGTCCTAAGTCTGTTTCATCAGTTTCCTGTCATGTGGCCTGCTGATTCCAGGACCCATCAGCAGACTACCAACAGTGGATGCATTCCGCAGACCTCAGACTCCTTTACATCTGCACCCACCAGTCTGTGTCCCCACCCCATGAGCCCCCTGCTTCGTCATCCTGCTTCTTGTTTGTCGCCTTCCACAACTTCACGAGTTAGGAGAAGCTTAACTTGACCTGGACTAGGCTTATCTACTTCTGCAACTGTGTAAGCCATTTCTCTATGTACATATATCGAGATTTGTGTTCTATATACAGCACATACAAGCCTCACTGGCTTTGCTGCTCCAGAGAAGTAACTCAACGTAGCACAGTGTCCCATAGTGATAAAGTGCAAAAGCTGCATGAAGCAATGTAAGGTAAAACAGAGAGCAAAACATAAGCATTGATACATACAAAAATGAATACCTTACTAATGGTAAGACTTGAAGTAATGGTGAAATGAAAAGAGCTGGAGTTAGGTAAGTCCTAGATTCATCACTGAACTATCTGTTGCACGTTAGGCACGTGTCTTGTACTACTCATTTATTTAGAAAATGAGGCTAATTTACTATTCTCACAAGATAATCACCGTGGATGACAAATGTATGGTATTCTGAATATTCTGTAAATTTTAATCTATCACTTGGTAATCTAAACAGCAAAAATTATCTAGGGAATTAATATCTTAGTCATCCTTAACATTACCTATTAAAAATTCTTGCATTCTCCTTCCAAAATGTGTCCCCTCTCTCCTTCCCGCCCTCCTGTTTCTTTTGTAATACAGACCTTCTTCTGGTGTTTGAATCCTCAGTGCCTCACTCCAGTCACCCCAGCTTCCTGCCTGAAGATGAAACTTAGAGGAAATCTGAAATTCATATTCTGTATAGGGTTTCAGATCAAGCAAATCATGTCTTCCTTTGGCACTTGTAGCATTAACCTTAAATCAAACACATTTAAAAAGATGTCTATTAATATTAAGTTGATTTAAAGACTCTTAACCCAAAGGGAGTAAGCTAAACCAGATGACCCATTTTTGATAAATATTTCAAATCTGTAATCTTGTGAGAAAAAATGTCAATTAAGTTTCTAAATGCACATGATGTTAATCTGAAACAATGTAGAATTGAGGGAGAAAGACACACACACACAAACCCTCCTGGCTAAGAACCCTCCACATGGGTTCTAAGAAGAACCTTGAAACCTGCTGAACAAGATTAGAAACTCCCGTTTTCAAAAATCTTAGAGAAGATACAGCTGAGAATTTTTTAAAAATCTGGTCACAATTAGAATTTAATAAGCCTTTTAATACAGTCATACAACTTTTTTTCAAAAAGAAAACTTCAATTAGTTATACCTGTCTTGTGAATCAGGTATACATGGAATTAATTCTTTATTATTGTAAGTCATTGTGTTTTATAAAAGTTCTAGAAAATATCATAATCCTAAACCTTATATCATTTAAAAATAATACTTATTAGTGTATCAAATTGTGTTCTTTTAGCTTTTTAATAATCTATTCCATATAAGCCTCTATGGATATTCTCTGATATTTCTGTTTCTAATATTGTAAAAAAATATCCTCCCCCCAAAACCCACTGCCATCAAATCATTAGGAAATTAATGTTGGTTTACAGATGGCCATGACTTAAAGATTTTAGCATTAGTTATAAAAATTGAAGCTTAATAGTTGATTCTCTAATATATCTCAAGCAGATACTTTTAGGCTCACTCAAAAAATTAGTGTCATCAAGTCAATTCCAAGTTAAAACATCCTATAGGACAGAGTAGAACTGCCCCCTTACAGTTTCCAAGCTTGTAAATCTTTAGGGGACAGAAAGTCTCATCTTTCTCCCATGAAGTGGCTGGTGGTTTTGAATGGTTGACCTGTGGTTCGCAGCCCAACACATAACCTCTATGCCACCAGGACTCTTTATTTAGCTAACAAGAAAAGACAAGTCTGAGATGCCTTCCCCTTTACTCTTACAGCCATTACCATAGTCCAGGACCCACTGTTGGTGGGCCTGTATTTGAGTCGATTAAGTATCACCATTCCATCATCTCTCCAATGAAGGGTATATCTTCTCACAGAAGTATTTGTAAATGTGATTCTGATGTCCCACGGAGGAAGAGGTCTCACTAGCAACCAGGACAAAAAAGGACACTTCAGGCTCCATGCTTGCAAACTGCCTTATATATTAATATTTAGTTTAAAGAACTGAACAATGCCATTCCTAAGATGCACAACCACCAAGCTGACAAAATACATGAGATAAATCCGTTGAGTTTTTTTAAATAAAAATTTTTACTTGCTTGTAAATCATTAAGATAATTCCCTTTAATGCACTATGATTTTTATCAAATAAAATAATACCAACATTCTCAATGGTATCAAATTTTCTTACTCCAATGACTTAAAAGAAAACTAGCATGCTAAGTCCAACAGATTCCTAGGGATAAGAAAGTAGAGGTGACTGCTGGCGATTACTCCTAGAAGGAGATGATTTATTGGTACGAAAACTCTTAGGAAATGGACAGAGAAACAAGAAAGCAGGTGCAAAGAATATGGGGAGTGAAAATGGCTTAGAGATAAACTGTCTATGGACAATAGGGTGGGGAAACACTGTGAAAACATAGATGCACAGACTCATGTAATTGGCAGCATGTGTGGGAAAAGATATTAAGAGAAGAGATAAAATAGAAAGGTGTGTTAGGCTGGAATTTCAGGTAGACTAGAAGTTCAGTCCTACCTGGGATTGTCAAGACTTAGAGGTGCCTAACGGTGGCTTCTGATTTAACTGGTCCCATAGTATTTACTCAGAAATGTGCCAGAGCTGGTTCCCACCAGCTCTTAAGCTGATAAGAAGGTAAATCCTTCCAGAGAAAGATGCATTTACACCTGGATACATTCTAGTTATGGTTTGTACCTGACTGCTCTTGCCCAGCAGGACAACATGTAGCCATCTTGGATCAGTGGCAGTATCCATGGGGGTAAAACATCTCCATCCAGAGGGATCTAGACTGAGCTTCTAGAATCACCTCCCAGTCCATGGTCTCACAGGTAGTGGGTGCCCTCATGAAATTAATGCTTTCATGACTTGAAGCCAGGCACTCTTATTTCTCCAACACTGAGAATAATGTTCATTCCATTTCGCACAGCCATCTCTATATAGTTCTCAGTTAGCATTCGCTTTTATTTGAGCAAAGTCACATCTACCCTTTAGCTATCCCAGATGGCCGCTTCCCTCCACCACCACCTCCAGGGAAACAACCACTTACGCGAGACTGAAGTATTAAAAAAAGTGCCAGTGAATGACACCTCAAAGTGAAATAAAACACACCTATATCCAAGAATGTGAATGTGGATGGGAATGAAGAAGAATGTCCAAGCTTATTGCTGGCAGTAACCGTGGCTGTGTAACTGGAGTCAAGTGATTCAGGAGGTAGGCTTATTCCAAGATCCGATTTATTACAATAATGACCCTTACATTCCTTCTGCAAAGTTAAATTTCTGGGTCCTTCTAACCTGTTAAAAAAAATACAAGTATGTTAGGAAGGTACTTGATGGGCTACTTTCTCCTTTATATACAAAAGAATAAAAATTCTAGACAGTTCTATGAACATAAATAGGACCAGATCTCTCTCTTTCTCCTTCTCTCTGCATAGAACTTAGTGTGTAGTTGTGGTTATTTATAATATTTATATAGATGAGCAGCTATCTTGAATGTGCTGCCTGAATTAACAGACTGCCATCTTGCTCCTGAGGGTAGTTTCAATCATTATCCAAAGGATGCCTGGTGGCCATCTTCGCCCCAATTATACAGAAGAGCCAGGTCCTGGTACAGCTGTGGCCAGACTAGAATCCTGGCCACACCTCCTTCCAGCTCCTGTGTTCTCAGGAGGGGGGCCACCTAGTAGAAACCAGCTCGGTCTTTGGATGGGATCATGGAATCAACTCTTCAGGTCTTCTCTTCTTGTGGACCCTCAGGTCTGGAAAAGCATTTTAAAAAGAGAGGCCTTCACAGAAAGCTACCCCAAGGAAGGATCTCTTTACACATCACAAGCCCAAGAGTTTGCCACTGCAAAAGAGGGAGGTGATATTAAGTGGTTAGTGGAACCTTACTAGACCAGGGAACAACTCACAACACTTGGGCACTGGATGCCCTGAAAGAATTCTCTGAGTTAGAAATCAGATCTCACATTTGGCTGAATGAACTTGCTGGAACTAGTGAACACTGGGGTGTTAAAAATTTAAGTCTCTGATTGTCTGGAGGTGTCCCTTGCTCTCTTTTTTCCCCCAAGAAAAATATGTGTTATATATTTTTAAAGCACATCAAAGAGAAGTTCTAAGAGCCGCAAAAGTTCAGCCTTTCACTCACTGTAAAAGATAGACGGTGTAAAGGTGGGTGTCTCTCCCTCGGTCCCAGCTGCAGGCCACGGTCCCATGTTCTCCATTCTGTGTGCAAGTTATACTTTGAGGTTGTTCTGGAACAACTTTAAAAAGAAATAGAGCTCATATTTTAAACATCATAGAAGGGATATTTAGATCATACCGCTATATATTTATTTGAATAACAAGATGACAGAACTTACCAACCCTACTCTCTTCATATCTGGGAGGCATTATATAAGGGGGCTTCAAAAGTTCATGGAAAATAGAAGGAGATGATCATGAAACATTTCTGGAAACTTTTCGAAGCTCCTTGGTAGAATCCACCAAGTTCACGTTCACTATCAAAGCATATATATTTTTAATAACTGTAAAATTCTAGTAAATATGGGCTCTTAGTGTATGCCAAGCCCGGTGCTAAGAGCTTTACATGCTGTTTTCCTCAATTAAACCATATTGCAGCCACATGAGGTAGATTAACCTCATTTTATCAGCAAGGAAACTGAGAAGTTAAGTAACTTTCCCACGTTCACAAAGCTGTGAAGTAGAAGAGTCAGACTGGAGACCAGTACAGTTCATTTGAGTCCAGCCCGTTCAACCCTACCTTCTTCTGTTTGTTTGTTTTGTTTTTCAAATCATTTTATTGGGGGCTCTTAGAGTTCTTATCACAATCCAGCCAGCCATTATGTCAAGCACATTTGTACATATGTTGCCATGATCATTTTCAAAACATTTTCTTTCTACTTGAGCCCTTGGTATCAGTTCATTTTCTCCACCCCCCACCTTCCCTCCCTCATGAACCCTTGATAATTTATAATTTTTTTCATGTCATGCGTTTCTGTGGTTCGTCCCCCTGTGAGGGGGTTATATATAGATCATTGTGATTGGTTCCCCCTTTCTACCCCAACCTTCTCCTTACCCTCTTGGTATCGCTACTCTCATTATTGGTCCTGAGGGGTTTATCTGTCCTGGATTCCCTGTGTTGTGGGCTCTTATCTGTACCAGTGTACATGCTCTGGTCTAGCCAGATTTGTAAGGTAGAATTGGCATCATGATAGTGGGGGAGGGAGGAAGCATTAAAGAACTAGAGGAAAATTGTATGTTTCATTGGTGCTATACTGCACCTGTCTCTTCCTTGTGACCCTTCTGTAAGGGGATGTCCCATTGTCTACAGATGGACTTTGGGTCTCCACTCCACACTCTCCCTCATTCACATTGATAGGATTTTATGATCTGAGTCCTTGATGCCTGATATCTGATCCCATCGACACCTCATGATCACACAGGCTGATGTGCTTCTTCCATGTGAGCTTTGTTGCTTCTCAGCTAGATGGCCACTTGTTTATCTTCAAGCCTTTAAGATCCCAGATGCTCTTTTGATAGCTGGGCACCATCAGCTTTCTTCATCACATTTACTTATGCAGCCATTTTTGTCTTAAGCGAAGACAAAATGTCAGGGAAAGTGAGCATCATGAAATGTCAGGTTATTAGAACAGGGTGTTTTTGCATTGAGGGGTGCTTTAGTAGAGGCCCAATGTCCATCTGCTACTTTAATACTTAACATATAAATATATATACGTAGATCTATTTCCTTATTATTATATAAAAATATATGTACATGCCTGTATTTAGATCTCTATAAATGTCCTTTGCCTCCTAGTTCTTTCCTCTATTTCCTTTTACTTTCCTCTTGTTCCACTATCATGTTCAGTTTTCATTCGGATTTCAGTAATTCCTCTCAGCTACATTGGCCTTGATCAAGTCCCACCAGGCATCCTACACCCTCCTCACCATTGATTTTAGATCACTTCTTGTTCCCTTGTCCCTGGGTTTGTTGACACCCCACTTCCTTTCCCCCACCTCCCCTACATTCTTCTGTTCTCCCTGAGAGGTGAACATCTGGCACCTGCTCTGTTACCTAGGGTGACTGGTGAGTTACTTTTTTTAGAGTGAAGTCCATTCAAGTATTAAAACCAGTTGTCATTTCAAACTCAGACTCATGACGATGCCATATGTGTCAGAGTAGAACTGTGTTCCACAGGCCAGTCAATGGTGTCAAGATCATATCTGACCTCCTCTGACGTCTCTATTGCCAAGAAGCAGGGGTCAGCCATGCCTCCATGCTCCACCCTCCATTTTCTTATTCCAGCACTAACCATATCTCCCACACACTCGATTTCTCTGCTGGGTTCTGTAATTCATTGTAGTGGCCTCATAGAACTCACAAGAAGTACAATTATTAGGGAAGTTAATGGGTTCCCACAGGTCAGGATCAGTAGAGTAAGGAGACAGTTTGGTCCACAGCAACACCTCTTATTAGCCAGCAATCAAGTTACTCTTGGGTCCGTCACATGTTCCCTTGGCTTCTGCCTTCCTGGACTAGGAAGCCCACCTGCCATTTTGTCTCATGCTTCCATAACCTCAGCACTGCTCCTCTGGCTCTCTCCCTTGGTCTCCGTGCCACCTTTCGGATGCCTCTGGTCTCAGCCTCCGTCACTTCAGATAGAGACCTAGAACATGCTCTTCTGATGGACCTGGTCTTTCTCTCTCTGCTGCTGCTTCAACCCTGACCAAGGGCGTGGTAACGAAAACTGACCAATCCCCTCTATTAGTGTAACACAGACACTATTTGCATAGTCATTTGAAGGGAGTTACAGAGACTTGGGTCGAAGAGCCTTATTAAGCAATTTCACTCCACAATAGGGTTTCCAGAGCCTAATTTTTTTAAGAAGTAGATCACCAGGCATTTTCCCCCAAGTTACCTCTGCATGGACTTGGATCAACAATTTTTCAGTTGCCAGCTGGGCATGGTAACTATTTGCACTGCCCAGGGGCTCCATTCAATGTTGTTGTTGTTGGGTAACACTGAATTGAGTTCAGCGTACAGCAGCCCCGTCTGACAGAGCAGAACTGCCCCAGAGGTTTTTCTTGACTACAATTTTTACAGAGGCAGGTTGCCAGGTATTTATTTTCACGGAGTGGCTCAGTAGTTTGAACCACTTAACCCTCTGGTTGTTCAATTGAGCAATTACCCTATGGTGCTTTCTCCACTGACCCAGATGTACTGTCGAGATGTTTCTACCCACTAGTTCAAGTGTTACAAGAGCAAAGATACTACTTTGAGGATTAAGGTGTTGAGTTAGTTAGTTTATTGTGCCAACCTGGCCGATAAACACATGGGGGATTAATAAAAAGCTGGAGGGATAAATGGCTTGGTGAGCCTTGCCTTTTGAGTTCTAGGTTCTCTTGCTCTTTGCAATGGTCAGACCAGGGTGCAGCTGCCTCAGCAGTTCCCTGCTTCAGCTTGCAAGGCTGACTTCCTGCAAGACATCCCCAAGGAGAAGCCACATGGACCTACCCCGATGCAGCTCTGGGTGCTGGAGCAGCTGCATGGAGACCCCTGCCAGCGCTGAGATGTTTATACCTTCACTGACTTGGCTTTTTTCCTGCAGTCGGCATCATTGCATCTGCTTTGTGAGATGGAGGAGGACTTTGTGCACTGTTGTTGGACATATGGGTTAATGGGTGAATGTTGGACTTGTGGACTTGGGCAGCACTGGGTTGGGATTTTTTCTGATGCACAGTTAACCATTATATAAAATTCGCTCTTTTACATGAGTTTCTGGGGATTCGTTTCTCTAAAGTACCCAGACTAATACAGGTGTGCTTGATCCAAGCCATGGTATTTTTCTTCCTGCTTTGCGTGTGAAAGATGGACAGTGCAAATGTAGACTGGGAAAGCATGGATGCATTTGAATGATGGCATTGGTGAGGAGTCTTGAAAGTGCTATGGGCTGAAAGAAGAACAAACAAAAACGCCCCTTGGGAGTGGAGGACGGTGAGATGTCATCTTGGGTAATTTGGTCATGTTATCAGGAGAGGCCACTCTTCGGAAAGGACATCATGCTTGGTAAAGTTGAAGGGCAGTGAAAAACAGGGGGATCCTCAAGGAGATGAACTGCCTCCGTGCTGCAGCAAGAGGCTCAAACAATTGTGAGGCATGCACAGGATGAAGTGGTGTTTAGTTCTGTTGTACACAGGGGCACTCTGTGTCTGAGCCAACAACAGCCCTTAAGAGCAACACCAGCTCTTGCTATTTCCTCCGGGGTTTTCTCCCTAAATGTCATCTCCAGAGTGCTCCCTTGGAGCATTGTATGGCCATTTACAAATTAAGCAATTCTTCTTATTCACAAATATCGAATACTTCTCATAGGGCAGGCACGGCGTTATCGGTAGAAATGCAAAGGGGAATGTGTCTGGTGTCATCCCTTCTCTCATAGGGAGTGGATGTTCAAATGAAGCTGCTTGATGTTCAAAGACAATACCCAAAGCAAGAAGGTTTTCCACATATAAAGTAGGGACTGAGCATGATAGCGGGACAGGAGGAGAATCAAAGGAAATAGAGGAAAGAGCTGGGAGGAAAAGGGCATTTATAGAGTTCTAGATAAAGGCATGTGCATATGCAAATATATTTATATGAGGATGGGGAAATAGATCTATGAGCCTA